AACATATTTTTTAAATTCTTGGCATTTTTCACTCTTTCTTTGACAGAGCGGTGCAGAGAGGAGGCAGGTAAGCACGTAGTGAGCAGGTGTGGAACGACATGCATGGTCTGGGTTCGAACCCTGGTGCAACAAATATAGATGTGTAAACCCTCTGAGGTCATTTAAGATAACTCAAACCCTAAATATATGAATTTTGCTTCTCTGTCCATGTAAAATACTGACCACAACAAAGAGCCAGGACCCAGGAGGGAACGAAAGTCACAGCATTTTACTAGTTTTTGTTGTTGCACCGCATATAAACACACATTAATCTTACTATAACGGCAGTACTAAATGCATTTTTATACGTACACTCTTTACCAGGCGAGCAAACATTCTCACACACGATTATTAACATCAATCCTAATTCTTTTCATTTTTGTGTTCACATGTCACCTTCAACATGTCGCCCACAGAGATTCACTGAAGTGTAAACCGATTCAATTTGATTTACACAGGACCAAATCACAACAGCGGTCGCCTCTAGGTGCTTTATTTTGCAAGGTTAGGACCTATAGAGATAATCCCAACAATCACACAAGCCCCTATGAGCAAGCACTTGGTGATGGTGGGGAGGAAAAACTCCTTTTTTACAGGAAGAAACCTCAGACTCGACTACGGGGAGGGGGAACCGTTTACCACGGCCGGGTGGAGGTGAGGGGAGGGAGACAGGACAAAAGTCACGCATCAGGATTTTCATTCCTGCCTGTTATTCGGACCGCGTCGGGTCTCCAGCTGTCCGTGTCTGGAACCGAGTATAATCCAAGCTTCAGACCTCAGAGACTTAAAAGCGGACATCTGAGCAAATGTGTTAACAGATACTTCTGTATTGTATCATCTCTGATTGATTCCTGAAACACAATCTTCAGGATGTTATTTTGGTTACATAAAGCAGGATTACACTTCAGGGGCTGGATTAGCCAAGATAGACTAACTCTGGAGTGTAGTGGTCAAGTCAAAGAGCCTCGGTTTGAAGGCCATCCGGTGTAAAAAATAAATAAATATTAATTACACATGCTTCTATCAGTTAAGACATACTAGCTAATTATTTTATCCATCAACAGTTTTCAGTTGTCAGGAGAAAAGCTAATCGGGACGTTTTATTTGGTTTCTCACCCGTTAACAGTGAAACAGGGTGCACGGCTTCTCGTAGCCTAAAGAGTCAGCTCACCAAAAACTGCACCGAAAGACGCTCTCGTTCACTTTTAGAGGTTTTCCAACCATGCAAATGGCTTTATGTGCTGACATTTTGCAGATATTAATAACCACCCATTGAAAAGATCTTTTCAGGCTGCGCGCTGAAAACCATTAAACTTCCCGATAGAGAGAAATTTCAGTGAAAATCAAGGTCTGCGGATTTTTACTTGGGTTACCTGGACATTGTGTTTGGAAAGTCAAGTAGTTGTTGAATTAGATTTTTTTTTAAATGTTTTTATTTTGCTTTTCAATACCGTGGCGCCACAGACAAAATGACTTTCACCTCTGCCACATCACAGCGTGGAGACACGCCGATATCTCACATCCCAAACAGCCTAACCCGAACCCCACTCGTCTTCCACTCGAGTTAACTGAGCTTAAACATTTTATTTGTGTACATTTCTATGAAGGGAACAATGAAGGCAACCCAGCTGTGAGAGAAACTGAAGTTTACATTCGCTCTCAGTTACACAAACACGCTGTGAATCCACCGACGCCCGAGCCTACACTGTGTCATATTATGCTTTTGGTTTATCGGGGTTTTCCCACGGAGAGGGCTCGGAGGCTTCCTCGCCGACTTTCACGAGCCACAGAAGTCGCACAGCAGAAGGGAGGTGAGGGAGACAATGAGAGGAGAGGAGGAAGGGACTTCAGCCCACCCATCAGTCCTCGAACCGAAGCTCGGCCAAAGCCTGCTGCTGCTGCTGCTGCGACCTTCAGGAACCGCAGCTATGACTGCATCCACAGCATTTATGTGTGTGTCTGTGTTTTTCTGCATGTAAATCCATCTGCGCACGTGTGTCTTTGCTTTATTCGACCATGAAAGGAAAGGGAACGTCACCGCTCGCCACAAGCTCACAAACTGTGCCGAATCATCTCCCCCTCCTCATCCACCCCCCCAATCCCGTAGTGTAAATATTTCTCCATTCTGCAGTATACACGTCGAGGGACCTGCCACAAGTATTACAACAAGACTTTTCCATCTCATAATGTGGGGGAAGAGAAAGAGCAGAGGAGAGGAGAGGCATGGGAGGGGGGGGGGGGAAAGCAGAGGGAAATATTTGGCTTGGAGCAGCCAGAGCCTCATCAAGGTTAATTGGTCTGTTGAGAGGACACACTCATCTGGCTCATCAATCACCTGGTCCATTGTTTCCTAAAGTCGGTCTCCGGGCGCAGGGCTTCGGCTCCGCAGCCCCTCTAATGACCGCTCCTGTCAAAAAGACAATACCTCATCTTGTTTCGGTGTATAAATCTCGCCGTGTCGCTAAGCCTGACACCGGCCCTGATTAAAATGGAGTCAGCTCTAAAACCCAGGACTTAAAAGGGTTTCACAAACATGCTTTATCGAGTCGTTTTGACCTTCCCGGTGTACTTGAGGCTTTGGAAGAGGTGAGAGTCAGTTCAGCTGGATGATGATGCAGATATTTAGGACGATGGCACCCCGGCTCGTCTTTAAGGAGCTGGAAACACTTCTGATCAACTTTGCCTACAGACGTGACGCACAGTCCAGCTTCCCACCACACGTGCCTGCGTCTGTGGACAAGCAGTCATTGGTGTGACACGAGTTTCAAGTCTGCTTGTGGTCCACGAACAGACCATAACTGAACACACACTTAAAAAGTCCCTATTTACTCAAATCCCCAAACATGACGACAAATATTGGCTGGAAAGCCTCAAAATGTTTCTCGGCGCACTCACGTTGTCATCCAAACGTTCATTTTAAAGCTTTTCTCGAGTAAAAGACTCAAATATCTAAATACTTTTAAATCACAGACAACCGGCCCATTTACTACAAATCACCAGAGGCCTCCACGTAACACTAGACCCACGTGAAGGGCACACAGGGTGCTCCACAGTGAAGAGTTTAAAGGAAGGAGTGGCGCCAATGCAGAGATCGTCCAGCAGCAGCGCATGCAGCAGAGTAGCATCACAGTGACCCAGTCACCTCTTTTCCACATGCGTGCACCTCAAGCAATCCTGCGTCCTCAGTCATGCTCTAGTTATCAAGTTTTAAACTGTACAGCTATTAAAAGGCAAGCATCATTTCATCTTTCGAGGTTTCTCCAACCCACAGTCGGGCTAATTTTGATGATTTCTTTAGTAAAAAGTCTGTTAGTTCTCCACTTTCTCAACAACGTAAAGATTATGATTAGAAAAACACTCTTGAGATGAACACGAACTATCACAAAGTCTTGTAACCTTCTTAAAAAGCTGTGCCCCGTTTCAGAATCTGAGTAAGGGTGAAGCTTAATTCATCTTTTTCAGGAAGTTAAAACCACAACGCAGCTCCAGAGTTAGACACTCTGCAAACGATGGGTTGTGACGTCCTGAGAGGAATGTAAGAGATGGCGAGATGATTAAAAATGATTCTTTTTCTCTCTTTGCTGTCATTTTTATTTTTGTGTATGTCACAGCGAGAGTTTGGCCCCATGTTTGTAGCTAATCTTTCGCCTCGTTTCCGGTCGTCTTCTGTTGACCGCATGAGAAAAAAAATGACAAAAGCTGATACTATTAGGCGGACAACACAATTGTAACATGGGCGGTTTGATGATTTACTGATTTTAATCACCACAACATGAGTTGAATTCATAAGAAAACGATGCCTCATGCTTTGGGAAGTCATGTTCGGTCGTTTTCCTGTGAAATTCTTGGTTCATTCATTTTTATTGTTGCTATTTTTTCTCTTATGGGTCAGTAAACCACAGAAATCTTTTGTTTGGAAGTCTTTGAGCGCTTCGCTGCGCTATTTCTGAACACTTCAGTGCAGGGTGGATGCGGCACAACGAGATAAAGGTCAGATAACGCTATCTGTAAAAGCTACCTTATTCCCCTAAAAAGCCGATATCAACAGATACATCAGTGTTAGCTGCTTAACTGGAACAGGAATTGATGACAGGTAGATTGAAAAGGTCGAGTCACTGGCACAAACTGTATCCACACTCGAATCAAAGTTCTAACTACAAAGTGACGCTTACAGATTTGTTTTTTTCACCGCTCTCAACCCTCGAAATGCATTCGTCTCCTCACCAAAACAAACCACTACTGAAGCAGACTTTGTGTGCTGCGTGTGGTTAATGGCAATAGTTGCTTAACCTCTAAACCATGAGCAACACTTCACTTGACATTTCATGCTAGCTTTTGCATGAATGGGCTGATTGTACCCCCGCATCATTTCCGGCATGGCCGCCTGCCTCGGCTCCGTCTACGATACTACATCGGTTTGTCTCGTGACCTCACAGGTTCAAATTGTTTCACGCCGCCTGGAAGGCTGCTCCGGCTTCGCTGTTTTGAGCGGACTCGTCATTTCCCCCCCTTTTTCTGTCTGTTACTCCCAGGGAAGCATGCTCAGTGAGCGCCTCTGTTAGCCAAAGGGGGAGCTGGCTGCTTTTCGCTTCTACTGCTGCTGCTCAGCTTCTATTTCTTTTCTCTCGCTCTCTCTCTCTCTCCTTTTTTATTTATTTATTTATTTTTTATTAGGGGGGTAAGAAACCCTCTTCTCCACATCCTCCTCCTGCTCCAGCCCCATCCATCCATCCACGCTGCTCCACTTCTCGCTCTCTCAAGCTATCTCCTCACAGGCTGGGATCCAGGGGGCTGGAAATAACCTTCACATGGCCAGCTTTACCCAGCTATCTCTCACACACAGACCGCCGCTGCTGCTGCTGCTGCACCGACTCATGCGCACACACACACACAGACACACACACACAGATGCATGCCAGAGCCCAGCTCCCTTCACGGGAATGACGGACAGCGCCACTCACCACTCCATGGACCAGGAACTCAAACAGTTTGCTCTTGGTGGCTTTCCTGGCTCCCCCCGCCGTCTCCTCCATAGCCATTTGCTCAGTCCCCTCCGTTCACCCTGCTATGTCTCCCCTCTCCTTCTTTTGTCTTTCCCTCTCCCTTCACCCAGCCTCCTGTTCCCCTCCCCTGCTCCACTTTCCTTCTCTTTGTGCTCTCCTTTTCAGCACTGCCTGTCCCTGACTCTCCTTCTCTCTCTCTCTCTCTCTCTCTCACTGCCTCGCTAGCTCTCTCTCTCTCTCTCTCCCTCTTCCCTCCCTCTCCCTCTATTTTGAATGTGCAGCAGCCCTGCCAGCCTCTCACTGTGTCTAGCTCACTTTTTAGTTGAGCTGCCTTTCAGGAGCCCAGGAGGTGGAGGGGAGGGGGGAGAGAGAGAGAGAGAGAAAGAGAGAGAGAGAAGCTGTGTGGGGGTCTGGCAGGGGGGTTTCAGCCAGCCCACTCTGCCGCTCCCCCGCACAGCTGTTGCATTCCAATGGTAGATAAGGGCATGCGGTGCGGCCAGGCTGCCGTTTGGGGGGTGGGGGGTAAACTCAGTTAGCCATTTCTCTGCTGCAGCACCCCCCCTCCCCCGTCCTCCCCTCCGGTGACCAACCGAGAGGCCACGGTCAGCACACGCAGAGCTCCGACTCTGGGCTCATTCTCAAAAAAGGACATGGGGCTCTTAAAGGGGCCACGCTTGCATATCATTACCACATGTGCGCACTGCCACATATGACGTGCTGGTGATGAATATAGGAGTAGGTCGATGCCATTTCCTCAACTCAAAGCAAGACCACTCAAGACACACTTGAGTATTTCTGAGCGAGCCAACGGGCTCTGGAGCCACTTCACAAAAGGGGGAAAAAGGCCACGTCAAGAGCACCTTCATTTCCTGCCTCCCTCTGCCGGCCCTCGTCAGGGTGCATTCACAGGTTACAAGTGTTTCCTTCAACTCGCCTCATTAGCTTTTACCTTTTACCCAGTGGTGTAGCCAGAGGCTACGCTCAGGCTGTAACAAACAAAACAAGGCCGGCCTGCACAGCAAGGTGACTGTGTCTCCCCGCACGTGTAATAAGGTTGTGTTGTGATTTCTTCCAGGTCGCTTTCTGAAGCTTCCTCAGCAAAAAAATGCAGGGGAAGGCGACAACGCATTCGTCCACTGAAGGTCACAGAGAGAAAGAGTAACACACAGACGGCTGCTTTGATTTCAACATGACATGCTGACACACACACACACACACACACATTAAAACGCCACACAGGTCATTACTCTGACGCAAACCACGCCACGCTGAAGATTATGAGTCTTTCAAGTCAGCTTCAGCTCCCCCCCCCCCTCATTCTCACACTCCCCTTCACTTGGCCGTCAGATCAGAGGAGTGAAATATTCATGAGGTTATCTGACTGACAAAGGGGGCAAAGTGGGGCATGTTCAAAAAGGCGGCTTGGCTTTGTGACAAAGGACAGCAAACTGTCACCCTCCTTTTCCTCTGTTCTGCTGAAAAGAGCTGAACGGCATG